TTTTCCGGAAACGAGGTCACTCCGGCAACACGACTCGCCTCCCCTCCCCCCCCCGCCCCCCGCCGCCCCCGCCAACTCCTCCCCCGTGTCCCCTCCCCTGTCAAGTGCGGAGAAGGAGGTGGGTGACCAAGGGGGGTCTCTGTCCCTCCCTCCCTCCCGCCCCCACCACCATCCGTGCTTCCTTCCTTCTTCCTTCCTTTCTTTCTTGTCCAAACTGGCTTCCCTGAAAGCACAGTATACGTCACAATTTATTCCTTTTATATCAGTCAGACTCTCCCCAACACCCCAGAATTTCCATCCAATGCGTTACTGATGTCACCTGTGTGATAAACTATGCACGGACAGTACAAAAGCTGTCACAGAGACAAGGCAAACTGCCTGAACGTGGGGCTTTTGATGCGTTTGTCTCTTGAGGACCTTGGAGTGTCCGCGCTTTCCCTCAGAGGCTTTGACGAGTTTTACCTTTTCCCTAGGTTGTAATGAAAAGTCAGGCTTTGTCATCAGTTTTAATTTTTCTCCCAAAAGATCTTGTTTTCTTTCTTTGAAAGTTCATAAAAATGTTGACTCTGCATTTCCTATTGGCCTTGCAGGATGTCAGAACAATCCTCAGATAACCATTGGTATTGCAGAGTGAGTTTTTAAAAATTCAAATTTTCCTTCTCACCTCTTTCTGGCAAATTCCCACACATCTGCATAAACCAGGCCTCTGGCCACTGAAACAGCTCCGGGCCCTGGGGGTATAAGGTGGTAACCCAGAGGCCATCACAGGGGCCATGGCCTCACTCCTAGGACTTCTCAGGCCCGTGAGACCCCTGCTGGTCACACACCATCGTTTCAAGTGCTTGGCACATGTTCAGATTCATTTAGCTGCACAAAATTGGACTTTTTTTGGCCAAAATAATGAACTCACTACAGTTACGGGGCCGCAAGAGACTGGCTCCTGAGAGCGTTGACGGCGTCCCTGCAAACACATTTAACTGGCTCTCCCAGAAGGAAATAACCAGGGAGAGGAGGCGGGCTGCAGGTGCACGGGGAGCAGAGACGGAGTGTTTGTGAACAGAGGCAGGTAACCGACGGGGCCGCACGTCCGGCAGCAAAGCAGACAAAACAGCTGACCTCAGACGTGAAGCCTTTCCAGCGAAAGCCCCACTAGGTTGTGACCTCTCGGCCCGCCCTCTAACGCTTTTCTGATCATCCATTTTCAGAAAAGGAAACCTTATCTGAAGGCGGACGATGACCCCGCAGGGGCCGTCTTGAAACCCCTGGCGTTCCGAGCTGACGCGACCACGTTGGAAGTGGGGCAGTGTCCTCCTGGTGCGGGGGACAAGCTTGATCACCGCGAGCAAAACGTGGGGGCCTGGAGGGCGTCCTCCCGGTGCCGGAGCACCTCAGCGTCACCAGCGCCCGGCACCACCCGGCTCACCAGGAAGGACCCCCGGCCACGACCCGAAGCTCATGACGAGGCCGTGCAGCCCCCCGACGAGCTCGCCCCTCCGCTCGAAGTGCCCCAGGCCGCGCACTTCGAGGGAGGCGGGTG